GTGTGTGTGTGTGTGTGTGTGTGTGTGTGTGTGTGTGTGAGAGAGTGAGAGAGAGAGAGAGAGAGAGTGAGAGAGAGAGGTTCGAATCATACTTATCTCATGTGCGGGGTGCCGCACGCGTATGCACGCACGCACAAGTGATGCCGCACGCGTATGCACGCACGCACAAGTGATGCGTTGCATTTAAAAAGTAGAAAAACAAAAATGTCCTTGTTGTGCCCAGCCTCTTTTCGGAAGGATCCCTACAGCATATTAGCTAGGACCCGACTTCATGCAGAGATACACTTCAAACTTGTACTCCCTGAGGGTGGGCAGAGAATATATAGTCTGGATTCGGAAACGGTTTTCACCTTTCTGCAGTCACAGATGCGGGCACTAGAGTTCGATCCCCAAACCTTACCTTGCCCATGTACAGTATTGAGTTGAACCCCGAGTGTTTGAACCCGTGACCTGTATTTTGGTAGTTGTTTGATGTCTGTCGTAAGTCTGTGTAGCTGTAGGGGTTCGATCTGTAGATCTGATGAGTAGGGGTCACAGCCTTGTAGAAGTCGCAGCTGTAGGTGTTCTGAAAGGCCAAGGTCGTAGCTGCTACAGTCCTGAAGGGTCAAGGTCGTAGCTGCTACAGTGTTCGAAAGGCCAAGACCAAAGACTTCGGAAGGTCCGGAAGTGGCCTTTCGAAGTTGGCTCACGTTTAGACAGAGGCAAGTGCGCAAGTGGTGAGCCCAGCTGTGTTACCTCGGCAGTGCGACTGCATCGAGTTGGCAGTGCAAACCCATGCAGTCAGCGATACCAGTCCCAGTCAGTCATAGTCCAGTCAAGCGAAAACCGTGTGGGACTGTGAGCACCAAGGGCATGGGAAAGGGGCAGACCAACGAGTTACAGAAGTATAAATCAAGAGGCAGCGCCCAGCCATTCATTCATTCGCTGCGTAAGCCATGCGGAAGCGCTGCTACAGCGTCTTGTGCGAGGTGGTCTGCATGTTGCCCGAAAACGAAGTGGGCTGAAGTGAGACTACGTAGCCATAGTTAGTTTAAGTAGAGCGGCCATAATAGCTGTAGGAGGTAGTTAGGCAATAGTGTGTGTGTGTATGTCAGAAAGGAATGTGTGTGGGGTATTCAGGGTGATCCAGAGCTAAGTGAGTGTGAACAGTGGTGTTGGGAACAGTATCGAGGGTTGGATGTGCAGGCGCTTATGCGCCATGGCCTGTGGAAGCAAGTTTACATCCGACTGAGTTCTCGATTTCCATATCTCTGAGTTTTGCGTGGGCGCTGTGTGCCAGTGTGAATCGCCATCTGTTTGCATGTATGTGAGGCAAAGAAGAAAGCAAGTCTGATTGCAGAATTCAGGTCTGTGCATGTCGTCTATGGGTCACTATTTCTCTATTTTCTCGCTTTTCTTTTCTTTTCTCGTTTTTCTCTTATTTTCTCGTTTTTCTTGTCTTCTCTCGTTTTTCTTTTCTTAGGAATACGTGCAGTGGCCTTAAGGGCCTCTACTCACCAAATGCACAAAAGACAAAACATATGGTGGCGTATTATTCCACGTTCTGCAGAAGATTCATTCCAATTTTGCACATTTCGTGAGTAGTGCAGCCAAGCCCTAAGAGTCACGTGCAGAGACCAACAGGGCCTAGCTACGTGAGCAACCCATAACTGCTGAAACACAGACCTGCATTCGAATCTTGAGTATATA